AGCAAATTGTAAAAATTATATAGTACTGCTACTTTCAGTCTCTATTCTAGAAATAGGTCTATACTATATATAAATGTAATTCAATGATAGAGATATTGGTGTTTAATTTCTTTCTTACCAGTTCTACAGCTGGCCTTTTCACTCTGCTTAGAGCTACTTCTAATTCCAGAAAAGGGATAATTCTCCTATTTCCAAAATGAACAATTTCTGTAGATCTTTCATAGAGAGTACGCTAAATTCCCACTTCTTGTAAAAACTTCTGTCAAAAAACCAAGCAAGGAATATAGTAGGGGTGTTCAGTTAGCAGGTATTCTTGAATTTCTAGTGAGTGTGTTGAAAACTTACTTATTGTTCTTCTATAAGGCCTACTATTTTAACTTCATTAACAGAAGCCTAGACTTCTACTAAAATTTGTTATACAAAGGTGCCTCCTGCCAGTTATCTTGTATATGCATGCTTTTAGTTTACTTGCTAAATATATAAAGGAGTCCAGTGTAAAAGAACTACTTTGACCTTTATAAAAACCATTATTTGTATAGTAGTCTCTTCTACTTTCTCCAATAAGTTTTCTGTTTTTGTTGGTGTGAAATTTGGTACAAGTGATCATTAGGGAGAGTTGATCATAAATATTATATATGATTATTATATATCTATACTTTCTTTATTTTTCTCTTTATTTGGAAATTTTTTTTGATAATGCTCTAATGCTTCATATTATAAACATTTATGCTATGCTTTTGAACTTGTTTCACCATTATCAGTTCTTTGATTGTTAACTTTTCTATCTAACAATTCTGTAACACTTTTCATTCTTTTCTTAGATAAAGCACCATGGATCTTAACTATTTTAAAATCTGTTATTTGGTTGATTAATTGCTATTGTAAAGGAACTATTTTATCAGATTCACTGTTTTTTATAACACTCTCATTTGTATTATCATATGAATTGTTAGCATTAAAACTTGAATCTTTACAACCTTGCCACTTGATTATAATAAAGTTCTTTAGCATTCGTATTAATTCCTTATCACTGTTGGTTTCTAAAGCAATATTAATTGCGGTTTTAGAAATAGAAAATGCAATCCCAAACTGATTTCTTAGAGGAGTAGTGTAGTGAATAATTTCATTATATTCTAATTTCTGAAACTGTTGTAAGTTTTGAAAAATAAATGTTGTTTCAAAAGATAATAGCAAAGTTTTAATACATGGCTTTATAGCAGTTAGAACTGGTGAACTTTTGAGATTAATGTCTAATTGGGCTACAATACTGTCTTTGTACCATCTAGCTGGTATGATGCTAATATGAAATTTCACATGTCTTGAGTAGAGCATAACATGCCAGAAATAATAACAGATTATCACCTTCATAATTATTTCCATGTAAGTACAAATATGAGTTCCATCACCCAATAATGTTATTATATTTTTATGATGCAAAAGTTCACCTATATGACATATCCTTTATAACTCAATTAAATTTGAAGATTTAACACCATTTAAAAAAGATTTTAACATCATTTGTGGTTCATCTTCAATGTCTTCAACAAAAGCACTATTAATAGTATCAAGATGGAGACCTTCATATTTACAAAAGGAAAAAAAAACAGTAATAAACCAAATCTTTAATCTGATTCTAATTATAAATCAAACTTAGGTTTTAGTACTAATCAGATAAAATGAATTATATTTATCTTGACAGAAGATGATACCAAGCAACCTTTGTAAGTAAGTGATTAAAAAATTTGAAATCATTGTCACAACAAAACAAGAGGAGTTAAGAATTCAATAAGAATTGTGTCAATGTTGGTAAAAAATTATGAAGAAACACCACAGATATACCAACTGCCTGGAAACAGAGCAAAATATATCCAATCTCTAAAAAACCCATTTTTACAGGCCAACTTAACCATACAAGGCCTATTACTCTTCTTGAGCATACACGAAAAATCTTTACAAAACTTATCACCAACAGACTTACCCAAATAATGTCCAAATACCCTATCCTTAATCCACATAACTTTGTTGCTTTACTATATTCTTCTACCACACAACCTATACAAATACTTACAAATATACTTCAAGAAACACATATACAAAATAAAGAAATCTGGCTTTTAGCTCAGG